TTAAAATTATTTTATCTGAAAAATTTAAAATAAAAAAAAGAAAAAAAATTAAATTATGCATGTTGTGCAAGTATTCAACTTTTATTAGCAGCACAAATTTATCAAAACGAAGCTTTTGTTTTTTATCGGGTTTAGCATTACAGCAGAATCTAAAAATCGAGTTCTATCTCAGATATTCAAGCACATTTTCAGTTGATATTTCCACCCACGCAATCGTGTTATTCAAGCATAATTCTTATTTAATACCAACTAACTCAATTACTATAAAATTTAAACTCTGCATTGGTGACACTTTTCGTTCAAGCAAAAAAAAATATAAACTTAAACTTAAATTGAACCATTTAATTTCTCAGTGAATGTTTGCATTGAAATATCACAAAAATAAAGAAGAAATTTTAAAATATAAATTGAACTAATTAACTCAGCTATGCTAAATTGTTATTCAACCTTCTCTTTCATAGTTTTTTAAGTATAATAATTCTAATTAATTAAACAATCATAGCTTTAAAAGATTTGAAATGAAAATCTTGAACCATTTCTTCAACTGTTGGAAATCAATTTCATGACAACCTTCAGTGAATTCCAGCCATGTTGATGAAGACACATAATTCATACAATCTTAATTAATGAAAATCTAAATTCGTTTAATATTTCTTCTTAAAAATTTATGTTTTTCAGTAGTTGTTTAATGACAATTTTTATAAATGTTTAAAGCAAGGAATATTTTTGTTTATGAAATAAGATATTTAAATGCGCTTCATCACGAAAAAGCACGTTGTGTAAGTTAAAAAGCAGTTATCGTCTAAACGACAGACGCTTTTAATCAGTTTTCCGGAATCGTTGCAAGTGGCTTCGATTGAATAGCTTGTAAAGATGCATTAGAATTTTCAGGCGTCGAAGAACCAGAAACATCGAAATCAACATCGCACACCGGATCACGCCAGTAGTTGAATGAAGTGTATTCAATACAATCATCATCATCAGTTAACTTGATAGGTGGGAATAGTTGATCAACAATGTACGTCATAGAACAATATCTAAAAGATTAAAAGAAAATGATTTATTTTTGTTAATAATTAATCGTCATATAAATTTACAAACAATTAATGTGGGAGGGAAAAAACAATCAACACACTCAAACAACTTATTATTAATAAGCAAATTTACAAGGTCAAATCAACGGCAAGCAAACCGACAATGAGAAAATAAATGCAACAAGTAGGGAATGACCGCAACACCATAAAACTTTCAAAACAAATGTATTGATAAATAAATAAAACAAATTCAACGAAAAAAACATACAGAAAATTTTTCTTTCTTTATTTTTCTTTGTAATTTTAACAAATTAAAGATTTTATTGGATTTTTCTTTCAAAAATAATTTTAGGGAGATTTCTTTTTATCAATTTATCACATGAATGAGGTGCAACTTTGCGAGATTTGCTTCAAATTTATCTAGAGATTAAAATTCGTAAAGTTTCCAATATCTTCTTGCACTTTCCTTGTCTTATATCGTCCTAATATACTCCTACAGATAATCTCTCAAGGGATGACATGAAAGACGGTAAAGCGTAATTTTATCATCGATCATTAAATAATAGTTAAACTAACATAAAATATTTATCACTTTTCATAAAATTCTTTTGTCCTTTCATTTACTTTATGACTCTTAAAACTTAACAACTCTTTCATAATAATTAAGGGGATAAAATCGTTGATAATTAAAAATATCTTAGAGATCATTAATTGTCGTATTTCTTGCACGCAACATTTTAATATTCAATTTCGCCAAATTGAAGACCGTCGTCATCTGTGAAGCAGCTGTCGTCGTCTTCGTTTTTGATGTGCATATTGGTGATTTTAATCAAAACTGGATTATCAGGTGTGATGTCTTTAGGAAGTGGCGGGAAAATATCATTCACAGCTAATGATTGTTGGGCATAACTCCTAATTTTTATGAACATTTTATATTGAGACAAGAGACGAGTTGACATAATAAAAGCAAAAAAAAAATAAAAAAGAAGGAAAACTGATAAGAAAAATCGGAATTTTCATAATAAAGACGTCTTGGATAATTCTTATAATCTAAGTTAGAAGATTTTAAATATGAAAATTTCCAGAGATAATCAAACTAAAATTTTTAATTAAAGTTTGACAATCTCTGGAGATTTCCTTCTTTTATCTTTCAAGACTTTTAATCCTACTATTTAAAGTTAGTAAGTTAAATTAATATAAATGATAATGAGAAACTTGATCATAGATTCATTCACAAATAAAAAATCCACATACAAGAGAAAACAACATGCCAACAATTTAACAGACTTCACAAACAGACATCATATGAGATTATGATAAAGATTACGATTTCAAGATACTTACGTTGATTGGAATGTTTGAGTTAATTCGTGTTTCAATTCACCACGTGGATTTATAGTATAAATGCGCATGATTGGAATTCCCACAGCGCGATATGCCCAAACATCCTGAAAATCATTAAAGAAAGATTAAAAAATGAAACAATGCGATAAGTCACGATCAACTTACATTAATTCGATTTCCATATCCAGCATAGAACGGATTCTTATCCGTAAACAAACTTTTAATGTCACTTAAACATTCAATTTTGAATTGTTCAGGTTTTCGTTCAATGACCTCACGATGAAAAGCAGAAATCAACGATGTTGGATTAAGAAGTAATGGACCATCAGGAAGTTGAACATCGCCTTGTCGGATTGATCTTAAATATTCTCGTGTAGCTCTCGACTGTCCAATTGCTCTTGCTGATAAGTAAAGCATTTTATATCCATTTTCTTCGATTTTCGAGAAGAGTTGAGCGACGCCAATTTGTGCCCAATCTTTACCAACCATTGGTAAGATGTGACCTAAAACATCTGACTTTGTGATCGTTCCATCGATATCAGAAATGACAACTTTGTCACTGTGTTTCCATTTGAATAAATAACATTTGCATCGTGATGTTCCTTGATAAGCTGTCGTCACACTGAACTCAACTTCATTCATTCCACTCTTCAAATTCAATTTTTCAATTTGTTGCGAGCTAAGACGAAGAGTTTTTCTGAACTTTTCAGTATTCAAGTTGTCTTCGCCACCGTCCAAATTCTTCTGTTGAAAAGAATCTTCCGAACTCACCGAACCATTTCCATATTGATTCTCTTTAATCGTCTTTTGTGGTGAAGACATTGGCGATGTTTGCGTCGCAACGCCATCAACTAGATCAGTTTTCTTGTTGGAATCTTGAACTGATCCACCACCAGAACGTCGCCATGAAAACCAACTGCGACGACTTTCAGCTTGCGTTTGTTGTTGCTGTTGTGAATCGTCTTTTGATTTCGGCTTTGGTAGATCGTGCAACAAGAGTTTCTCACAAATATCATTTGGAAGTGGCTTCTGATAAGCCAGAAGTGTCATGACAACGGGACAAGCAGTCATCCAGCTGTAATATTTATTATTAAGACGAACGACAAGATTAGGCGATGAAAATAAAGCTGGATTGTGACAAATATCCGAATACTGAACAATATTCGACTCGAATTCTTCATCACTTGGCCCTCCTTTTTCCATTCCACCACAAAGTGATAATGAAACAAAGTTCAATGACGTGTCAGCTTGTTGTTTCTCATCATCGTCGATATCTTCACATTTTATCAATTCCATCGATGTTGTTGGACTTTGTGGTAAACTTGTTCCATTTCCACTTTCGCGATCATCATCACGTGATTTTGTTTCTTTGGTATCGTTTGTGTCATTTGATTGTGGAAAGTAGAGAGCGGCTACTTCCGGATCCATTGTTTCTGGATCGAGATCAGAGAGGTAAAGACCATCGGGAATGCTCTTTCGCTTCTGCTTCATGAAGCTTAACATGCCACTTAACATCGAGTTGCGCTTATTGGAATCTAAATTGTTGGCATTGTTTGAACGATCATCGGAAGTTGTCACAACTGGATCGCCCCATTTCCAACTTGCTGAACTTTTCATTGCATTTTCACTCTTTTCACGTTGCGACACTTCGAATTCTGTGTCTGATTGGATTGGCGTTGATGGTCGACTTTGTTGTGGTGAAATTCCAGATCCAAGTTCACCATCACTGAAGAAATGAATGTCATGATCTCTTCGATCTCTTTCCGATGTTACAACCTCATCATCTCTTGATAAATCTTTGACAATATCATTTTCGGTGTTTGGTGATGGATCTTGAGAATCAATTCCAGAATTATTTTCAATCACTTCAGTTTCGTTTGCAATGTCTGAATTGACACTTCCTGCTGAGCTGCTTGAACTGTTCTTACGTTGACTGTTCTTCTTCTTAATCATAGACTTCTTTCGTCGCTTCTTCTTCGATTGTTGTGAAGCTGATGACTTATTATCATCTTTGACTAGATTTTTACAATCATCAGACTTTTCTTTTTGATCACTTTTAAGAACTCCTTCAATCTCGAGTTCAGCTACTCCACCTGAACTCTTATCACTGTCATTCTGTCCATCTTCCGTTATTGGACGGAATTGATGACTTTCATCCATTCGACGTAAATTGAACTTTTCTTTAATCTCATCGTAAAGTTGATCTTGTTCTTCGGGAAATTCTTGTCGAAGTTTTTGTGTCGTAAATTCAATTTTATTCGAGATCAAATCACGGCGAACCAAATCATTATCTGTATGACGACGGAGAGTAAAATCTGACGTTTGGTTCTCAAATTTATTGGTTGTTTCTGTCTCAGAAATGTCTTTTGAGCCGAGATCAACTGAATTTCGACGCGGTAATGGAATCTTCAGCTCATTATTGTTGGCATTTGAAGCGCTGAGTGATGAAAAAGAGAAAAGAAAATTTATTTTGCAATAATTCTGCTAATTAAATAATTTTAATCTTACCTGATTGTGTCTTCGTAGTTTGTGAGTTCATTCGATGGAATTGGTGACGTCGCCATGTGATGCGGTAACTCTTCATCGCCTTCTGAACATTCTTCGACAAAAAATGCTTCACCTGATTCGCCAAGCTTCATATGAATGTCTACTGGCTCGCCATTGATTTCAATGTCAACCTTTTGATATTTAACACATAAGAAACATAAAATAAAATATTTAAATTTTTATATCTTACGATCTTTTCGCGACTTCTGAGCACACCAAGCTTTCCAAATCGCACATGAAATGGTGAACAATGATACGTTCCATCCGGTTGTTCAACAGCAATCACGTCAATCGCACCAGTCAATGTCGCTGCGTTGATTTCATTGTAGAATTCTTTGAAGTCTCGAAACACTTTATTTGCTATGCTTAACATATTTTTATCTTCCTGGTTCTGTTTTTAATAGAATTTAATTTTCAACGAAGCTTATAAATTTTATGATTTCCTTAAAAGCACAACAGATTTTTCTTTCAGCTTCTTCTACTTCAAAAATTTAATTTTATTTGATGATTTTGATATTTATCTGTAACGAGAGATGGAAAAGACGAGAGAAAAATGTTAATTGATGTGGACGATCGAATGTCTTGTTTGTCTATTTATAAACATTTATAAACATTACTAATGACTTTTTTGTTTGCGATTTTGGCAAATATTATATGATTTAAATTAGCTGCAAAAAGATTCTCGTTTTTGTTTACATTTTGATATTTAATGAATTGCATTAAAATTTACATTCTTGTTGAATAACGGAAGAACAACAAAATCTTTATTGAATGTGTCGATTGAGTAACAATTTCCTTGGAATAAAGATAACCGTGAATGAACTCAATCTGAGGTTAAATGTAAATTAATCCGAGAGAAATAAGACAAAAATTTTTAAGTGTTTGCGTGCACATGAAAAAGTTTGGTTTAAAAATCCTACAGTTGATCGTTATAGAAATAAAATAATAATAAGAAGGAATAGTGAAACGAACTCGTTAAACTCAAGTCGCATGTTTAAGAATAATTCAAAACGTTTTGCTTCTTATTTTTTCATTTGCCGGATTCCTTTTTTGTCGAATGAATAACAGACAGCTGATGACAACAAAATGAATTCTTCAATTTATTAAATCGATGTTGTCTGAGCTGAATTTATTTGAGGAATTTCGTTTAGATTAGAATTAGGTCATTGTTGAATTGAGGAAAATGGAGATTGAATATTTATTATTGTTTAGGAAATCAAAGCAAATTGATGAAACGAATGTTTACTTTACTAATTAAAAGAATAAGGAAATGTCGGCTAGTTGACGTAGTTTTGCTTATCTAAATATAAAACTTTAAAGTTCTTAATTAAATTTTATCTTTCTTTTACTTATCAGAAAGCAGCCTAAAATCATATGTTCGTTTATTTCAAGTAGTTTAACAAGACTAGGCCACAACCGCAATTTTAATGTGAGCTCAGCTGCGCCACAATAAACATTGTCTTGCTTTCTTCAACTCATAACACTACAAAGTTTTTATTTTCATTTACAATAGATCGCAATTGTTTACACTGACGTCATTACATCGTACGTTTCATTCAATTACTGCGATTGTAATTGTTATGCTGTGAAAACTGCTGTTGAATTTCTATGAAGTATCACGAATGAGGTGGATTGATTTTGACATTTTTAAGAGATTGCGTGTGGGCGAGCGGATCAATTTAAAAAAGTTTTAAATTTATAATTTACAATCTCACGAATTGACAATTTTTCTGTCAACTCGTTAAAAGGCTTCTAAATCCAATGGAAAAAAAAATTGTCATTTGAAATAAAAAAAAATGAAAACAAATTAAATTCTCCACGTGTTGCTCACAAGCCTTTTGTAGAATTATTGAGAAAATAATTCAGATTTTCAATTAAGCTTTTGAGCTGTCTAAAAGTCAGAATCTCTGATTGCCAAGGTTTATTTTAATTCCGTTAAGTTGAAACAAAAATTTGGCACAAAATTGATAAAAGTAATTTCATCGCTGTAAAAACGACAAAAATTCCGACTCGTGAAATTTAAGAGAACAACCTGAGATATAATGAGCTCTACAAGCCGATGAAACATCACACAAAATTTTCAATGAGAGAAAAAAGTCATCCCAAATGAAAATATTCTCAAACATCCGCTACTAGGTAGCACGGAATCCAAACTGTGCCAAAAATGTTATAAATTTTTATCATCACAATTTCGGTGGGAGCGAAGTCCGTGTACCTAGCAGTGTGAGTATGATTCGCATGTTCTTTTAATCGCAAGAAATAGTTCCATTGACTCCAATCGCTAAGCAACGTAAATGTCAACAATTTTTTCTACTCTTCTTCTTTCATTTCATACCTTTTAAAGACAAAATTCACTTTCACTAGTATTAACTTATAGTCTTGTAGCTTTTTTATATTTTTTTCAATCCAAGGTTCGTCTCAGTTTAATGCAATAAATTGCGAAAACGAATCGAATTCGTTTACTCTCATTAACTGTGTCTCAACCTCACTTCGAGAGGCTCGACTTAGGCTTTTTACTCAAATTATTTATTGCCCAATATTTCAATGAACTATCTTCTTATTCTTTTTAAAGTTTTTAATTTCTTTTTTCTTTTTTGCAAAACAAAAATAAGTTTTTTCGAGCTCTGCTGTATTATAGTTTACACGTCTTATAACGCCGGCTTTTCAACTTAAACTGAATTGTAAATTTTTATAAAGCTGTATGCGACCTTATGGCGATGGATTTGTTTTTGTTTTTTATATTTTTCTGTCTTTTTCTTTCATTCGTGTTTATTGTTTTCTTATCTCGTGATCGTAGGAGAGAATGAAATGGAAGATGAATGAGGTTTAATTTATGAGTGTATAAGCACGTCTTAAATTTTATTTTTCTGTCACACCACTTGCTTGGAAGTTCATCAGAAGTCTGATGTTTTTGATGATGACGTCATGGAAATTACAAAGGAAATGCGGATATTTCGAGAAGATTTTACATATCTTGTAATAATTGATGCTTGAATGAAATATTTTTATGATTACTGTTCGAAGAATGATCTTCATAATTAATTTAATCGATTAAAAACTTCTTAAAGTCAACAAAGTATTTGGTTAACAAACAGGAAATAAATCATTCAACTCTTACTACGCACTAAAGAACTTTCGTTTAACTCAATGTCAAAGGAAAGTTCACGTGTACTTAGTTGCAGCTCATTTAATTGCATAGAAATTGCATCGACATGTCCTATTTAAAAATATTAAATCGTTGATCAATTCCAAAAAGTGAATATTGAATTCAAGCGAAAAAAGGGTCATTTAAGGTGAATGCAATGACAAGGAATTAAAATAAATTAATAGTTGTTGAAAACAAGTACCCATTTGTAATTTGTGACGCTTGCTATTCAATATTAAATTTGAAAGTTTCATTTTTACAAAATTATCTATTACAAACGCAAATATTTAACGCAAATGCGAATGAAGGAAAACAAGTTTGAAATCACACGAACATCAGGAAGATTTGTAGAATAAAGTTGTTTTATCGCTAATATACACAAACAGCAATCAGCAGATTTGCTAAGCAAAAGGAAGCAAAAATGTTCTATAAAATGTCAATTATCAACGTGATTATCTAAATGACGCATAGTCAATCTATGCCAATAAATTACTGAAACAGTAAAAAAGCCAGTAAACTTTGTCGATTTCTCCATTTCTCAAACTTGTTGAAGGTCAGTTACGTTTGTTTTTTCTTTCATTCTCTCGAATCGTTCAAATACATTTTGCTATATTCCTTCAAAGTCAATTTAAATTGATAAATTTTCAATAAATTAAAAGCTTTTCTCGCGAAAAAAAAATTAATTTATACACAATTTAAATTAAAATTCTTCGATAAATTGTTTGATAATTGAAATTTCAATTTGTACATGAAAGCTTTAAGAGAAAACAAAAGTTTTGATGAATCGAAGGGTAATCTAAATTACAAACTATTTATTTACTACCTTTAAACTAAGAAATAATTTATACCTTGTTTTATTTTTCTAATTTTCATGTTAAAAACACGCCGAACTTCTTTTAAAAAACAAATGAATTGTTATCGAAAATATTTCAGCCTTGAGAATCTGTGAAAACTTGTTAGATGCTCACCACACACGAGTCTAAATTTAATCGCGACAAGCCCCTTTTTCCTCAGTTTGCTAATTCTACGTTCTGCGTTTTACGTTCATCTCTCGTAAATGAAACTCAAGGATTTCTGGGTTAGTAGTATTTTTTTAATTTATATGGCATGTGTTGTCAGATATTCTTATCTCGTGTTTCTTTCTTCTTTGTTGCAAATATTTTGATACGCAATAAAATAGTTCACCGTTCCGAGAAAAATGATGTGAATGAGAAAAAAACAAGTAACTTAATGTAAACAATGTTATTAAGCATACAGATAAATCTATCCACTTATAAACAACAATTTATCGTTCGATCGAGCCTTTAAAGTACACCCAATAGAGAATAGACAAATATTTTGCATTTATCCAATATATTTTCATATTGCGATGAGAAATAAAAGCTAATCTACATGTGTTTACATTTGAACAATCACGATTAAGATGATTGTTTTGTTTTATAGTTTAGTTTTCCTAGTATTCACTTACACTTGCATAAATGTCGAGTCAATAACTTAATAAAAATCTCTAGCAGAAAAATAGCAACAATGTTGAGCAAGATTAACGTTACATTAACATTGTTTAGTGTTTTTATATTCGACAAACAGCTTTTAAGTAACTATAAATGATCAATAAAAACAATTGAAATGAAAAACAAAGCGTCATCGATGTTTATTAGAATAAATAAAAAAGTTATTTATTTAATTTTTTTTGGATATGGAAGATAAGCATGCAAAAAAACGTTGATGAATGGAAAGTTTACATAGTCTCTTCTTGATGACTCAACAAAATTAAATATTTAAGTTTACAGTTCTTCGTTTTTATTCATCTTCATCTATATTTGGTAGATGTTGATGAAAAAAACAAAAAGTTTTCAATGTCATGTGAATTTGCCTGATGAAGAAGGGTTTATGAAAACTTGTTTGTTGATCTTGAAAACGGTTTTTATTTGGTTTCGTAACAAATTATTTCTTACGTTGGTTGTAAGAAATGATGAAATATTTATGAGTTTTATTCTTTGTTTATGTTTTTGTCGGCTGATTTACGTGTACATATTTCTCATTTTATTTTTCAGTTTTTAAAAAAACGTGATAAGAAATCAGATCATTCATAGCTGTCATCATGGATTTTATAATTGAGAAGACGGAAATGGAATTATTTAGCAAAGTTCACAGTGAATTTTTCAAAAATATTAATGTTAGCAAAGAGTCTTAAATTTCTGAACAGAACATTTATGTTCGAATCGGCACGTACGCATCCTGCAAGAAATCTGATAGGGCAACAATAAATTCAGTATAACAAAGTTCACAATATTCTCGTCTTTAGTTTATTACTTTTGCTTAAATATTCCCATCTCTTTTTACTTTAAAACATGTTCCAACATGTCATTGAAGCATAAGAAAGTAAAACTGAGGAAAGGGAAAAATATTCCGATCAGGTGATTCATTTGCAACTGTATGTGTGTGTAATAAGTGTGGAAACCCAGTGTTCCATTGAAGGAAGATGTGAGTCATCAAATGTAATTACATGTTGCAGTTTTCTTATTTCTTTTTAACATTGTTTTCGATTTTTATCATGATTGTTGTTGATTACATCGAAACGCCATAAAAAGAGTAGTTTTACTTTTTTGCAGCCGTCTCAAAGGTATTATCTGCATTTCTTAAAGCATGCACGTTTTTTCGTCTCGACGATTGTTTTATAACTTATTCTCTTGCGTATAAACTTTCAACCTTTGATATTGTATTAGAAACGAACAAAGAGATTTCGCAATTTAATTCAACATGAGAAAGATTGCAATTAATATAATAAGCATAGTTGCATTATAATTGAAAGGATTTTTAAAGATCCTGTCGACAGAATATCGATTAGAAATAAAATTTGCCCAAGTGGGGATGGAAAAGCAGGAAGAAAAAGTCCTTCCTTTTTACAAAAATTTTACTTACATATTTCTCGAACTCCTGTCTGACACATTCACTTCACTTCATCAAAACTGTATTCACTTATTACTTATCTATAGTATTTTATCAAAACATACACAAATTTCCTTTTAACTTTTTAATAAACTGATGAAAACTCCGAGAAGATTTTCCTTGCGAATTTATTGTTTAACGCGTCAGCTGTACTGAAGCTGGATTTTTAAAAATAAAAATACGTTAAATTATCATTTAATTTATTTATTTATGTTTGAAGTTGAATCCAATTACAGTTTGTAACTGTGAACATCCTGATCATCACCAGTATTTGGTGGTGGGTTCTTTGGAGGACCATCACCTGGTTTTCCGAATGTCATTCTGATGTTAAAAAATAATATTTAGATGGAACATGAATTTGAGTTTAAATTTAACAAATTACGTACCCAGGAGGTCCTTGGCCGAAACTGCAAGCAATACTCATAAGCACCATAAGCAAAAATATTAAAAATTTCATGTTGATGTTTGAATAAATTCAACAAAACTGTTGATATCCACCAGTTATCATCACATTTTTATATCAATCTAATATTATTCCAAAACTGGTAATTTCCTTTCTATTTGCAATTACCTATCTATTTGATAAAACATCCAATGTTGCCATTTTAAAGGAAATAAAAAAAAGTTGGAAAAAGCCGTTTACATGTCGCCGCATAATAATTAACTTAAAAAAAGTTTTATTACAAACAATTGATCAGTGTCGAACAAGTTCTCGTGACATATTTGTAATGTCACCTTGCAAGCCATCAAATTAATGCGGGATAAATGTTTCTATATAATAAACATACTAAACTTCTTTTTTTTTTTAAATTATTTATAAAAGTTAAACAATTTCTTTATTTAATTTGATGTCGTTTATAACTTGTGACAAATTTTGATATAATTTTAATTGTATTGCTGTGAGCCGGTTGTCATAACTGAAGTTGACAATGGGTAGTCGTCATCTTCTGATTCCATTTTCTTCGATCTCAACTCAAAAACTTGTGAAATTCCTTCGCGAAAGATTAGAAAATTGTAGTCAATTACACCTAGAAATAAGAAAGATTTATTAATTATGCTTCTAAAATATTTTAACAACACCTTTTACCTTGTCTTATAAAATTTTCTTCTCTCAGAATGCACACGAGTGCTAAGAACTTATTAACTTCCTTGAGATACAAGATGGTGTTGTTATTCAACTTTATTAGACTAGAACTTTGACCGTCGAATGCTGTCTGCTCTTGTGTTGCTTTGGCTTCCGATGTTAGTCCATAAATGTCTGATAAATCAATAACAACGTCGATCATGTCACAACAAAGCTCATAAGTTTGCATATCCACCGGTGCGCAATCAGTTGCGATATAAATTTTTGACACGACATCAAATAAAAAAGCTTTTTCAATTCCTGAATTTGTGATGAGGATATTTAGGAGATTTTCAAGTGTTGGTAATTGCGGGATCAATTTTTGAACAACTTTGGAGAAGGCCTCGAAGATGCTGTGATCATAAATTGATGTTAAATGGAAGCTTAAATGAATGTCAAGGCCAGCATCTTGAAGGTCATCAGTTGCCCTTTGGTGAATATCACGTTGCGATTCCATTTTAAAGTCGTCAGACACTCCATCAACTTTATGAATGAAAACTTCAAACTTTATCCTTGGATTGACTTTGTAGGCTTTTGTGACAGTTTGATTGAGTTTTGTTAAAGCTTCTATATAATCATCTTGAGCGTCAATAACAAAGACGAGAGCACCACAATCTCCAAAAATCATGTCTGAATCGAATGTAGGGTCGAAGAAATCAATTTGTCCTTGATAAGTAAAGAAGAAAGGATAAACTTGACATTGACATGTTAGTGAACTTCACAAACTTACCAGGAAAATCCCAAATTTGAAATTGCACAAAACTGAAAAATGAAATTTATTTGTATTGATGATAAGTCATGTTCATTATATGCTATGAAAGATCAATCACCTCGAATTGTTTATGTCGTCTTTTATAATCTTATTTGTACTCTCGAGAAACAAAGTCTCATTGGGGCTCATTTTATGGAAGACAACTTTTTGAATGGAACTTTTTCCCGATCGTCTCAACCCAAAAAGAAGGATTTTTGGTTTGGAAATAGTTCCATTTTGATAAGTTTCTTCTTCGTCGTCTTCGTTAAAGCTTGACATTCTTTAGAATCTGATTAAACCACAATTATAAAAGTTTTCTTTGGAATTTAAAATTTGAAAGTTATTGCAAAGTGTTTAACAAAATAAAGTAAAAGTTCTTCTACTCTTATGCGTATATCTCTTATTTATTTAGTTAATTATTATATTTCCTGGTCAAAGAGTTCAGAAACTTGTCGTTTTTGATTATTCTAGATTTTCTATTTACGCAGAACAAAAATTAAAAAAAATTTCAAAGCTGAACTTTAAATGCGCACAATGCGAAGAAAACTGTCACATCCCTAGGCTGAACGAAATGTGTTTTGTATAAATCGGTTAAAGCTGAAAAACAAAACAAAAGTTTAAATTTTCAATTAATCTTAAATAATGCCTGGAAATGTAGAGTTTGGAAACGAAAATTTTAATGCAGATGATTATGTCAAACGTCTTGTTAAAGAAAGAGCTACTGGATCTGAATTAAGTGATTATAAAAAGCAATTACAGAAAGAAAAAGAAGGTAAAGATTAATTTTTTGTTATTATCGCTATAAAATTGTAATTAACATTTCCTTCGTTCTTCTCCAATTTTCAGATGTAAGTCTTGGACTTAAAAAGAAAGTTTTTGAGAATTACACTCAATTTATTGAGACAGCAAGAGAAATATCTCGTAAGTTCAATGATTCATTGAAATTCTACAGAAATTTTAAATTTTGACAATGTTACAGACTTGGAATCGGAGATGTATCAGCTATCACATATTCTTGTTGATCAAAGAAGCTTAATTGAACAAATCAGAGAAGAAACCCTTCTTGATGAACAGAAAAATGTGATTGGAGAACCAGACGAGGGAGACACTGAACAAGATCAGAACAAGAAAGCGATTGCCATTATCAAAGAAGCTCTAATGGGTTACTCGAAGAATCTTGATGATAAATTCTTCATCCATGAAGGTTCTCTCATTGAGTTGGATCCAAACGATTATCGTCCAATATGTAGATCACATTTGTTTCTATTCAACGATATTTTAATCATCGCAAAGATCAAACATGACAAAAAGCTCGAATTCATGGCAGAATATGAAACGAAGAAACTCGCTGTCATTAATATCAAAGAGTTAACAGGTGTTAAAAATGCTATAAATATCATGACAAGTGATGGATCAAGAATTTATCAAACTATAAATGCAGCTGCAAAGACAGAATGGATCGAAAAGTTTGAAGTGTCGATTAAATTTAATCAACCACATGGTGGAGGAGTAAAATCTAAGAAAGGTCCAGCACCACAACCACCAAAAACTTTACAAAAACAAGTCTCTTCAATTGATACACAATCAATTGCTAGTGACATGACATTAAGTCCAACAGCGTCAATAAAAACCGAAAATTTTGCTCCCGAATGGTTGAACTACGCACCAGAAGAGATTCAAGCTGAAATTGCACAAAGACATTTCGAGGATTCTTTAACATTGATACAAAGAAGTGAGGAATATATTCAAAAGAATCCAGTTTTTTATAACTCAGAAGAGATTCAAGAGAAGGTCAAAGGATTGAAAACAATTTTGTCGAGTGTTTTACTTCACGAACTTTCAACAGCTCAATGTCGTGATCTTCAATCTCTTTTACGATCATCTCGCCGTTTATTAAAACTTCTCGTTGAGATGGATAAGAGTCGAGAAGCATCAACAATATTACTTAAAGTTTGTACGACAGCAATTCGAACATCACAACGTCAAGCTCGACGAAATAATCTTCCTGTGTCGGAATTATTTTTCTGTGATCTTGCACAAGTTGCAAGTGAATTTCTTCGAGCTTTTCAATCACATGTGGCTTGCACAAGTGCACTTGTTGTCTGGAGTAACGATGAACTGCAATATTTTGCACAACAATTGATAAAACATTATTTGTCGAAAGGAACAAGTTTGGAAACTGTCGCAAAAGTTGTTGAAAATGTGAGGGAACCATGCAGACAATTGACAAAAATCGGTTTAGATCTTTCGTATTACATGGAAGGGTTGCTACGTGGATCGTTGGAACAATTAATTGAAGAATCCAGATATCGATTGATTGAGACAATCAACAGAACTGAAGACGTCTGGCAACCATACAATCTTGGATCAAAAAATAATTTAAGAATTCTTATCAAAGAATTAAATTCCATGGGAATTGATTTGACGGAACTCATAACTGGTGACACTTGGATTAACTTAACACAATCGACTGTTGATTTTTGTCGACATTTCTTAAGTGTCACTCAAAGTTGTGCAATTATTGGAAGAAATAACATTCTGAAACCTGATTGTGAAAACTTATTGAAAGATCTTTTTATAACTCAACATAATATAAAACCAACAGCCACACAAAATGTTGATGTAAGTTTAGCTTTAAAACATTTAATCATAACTAATTATTAAATTCTCTTTATTACAGTTGAATTTTGTAACTAAAAATAAATTGTATTTAGTGGAAGTTTTGTTGAGTGCAGCAATAGAAAAGTTTGAGGCGATGAGTGATCACAAAAGCATCGTGTTGGTTGATCTTCAACAACATCTTAGAGGCCCACCAAAACCGAAACCACGAAATGTTTACAAGACCGATGTGCTTTAAGTGATTCATGTAAAAGTTAATTGACACTTATTACATTCGTTATTCATAGAAATTCCTTTCAAATCTTGTAATTCTTTTTGTAAAAGCTTCTAAATGCTTTCGTTACTTATAGCCTATATTAATATTATGTTAGTTATCACACATATTCCGTTTCCATAATAAAAAAATATTTATCATAAATTTTGTTGGATTTTGTTGTCATATTTCTGGCCGATATGCAAGAAAATTCTTTCGAAGCTTTACAACTTTTAATTATTGATGATTGGTTGGTAATTTTGAGGTATTAATTGATACCGCTCGTGCCATTCATCTCGTTCTCGTAGACTCAATCATTATTCTTACTCAAATGGTTTTCAATGGTGAGTCAGCCACTTTCAATTATTGACAGATTTTTAGAATGAAAAAGTAATTAACAGAAAGATGTTTTAAAAGTCACATAAAATGGAAGCTTTCTTCATCAAAGAATACTTTTAATAAATTTTAATCGAATATATTTCGTCCAAGATTAAAAGAAAATAAAAAATTTCAGTACTTAAGAAAAGTTCTAGTTTTTTATTTAAACTTTAGTTTTCTTCATTTTTTCATAAAATTTTTATATTGCAATGAATTATTTTCTTTTTATTTCCCTCCGAAGATACTTGTACGTGTCTTTCTTTACTAAGTAGCTTATTGCTGCTGCTGCTGTTGTCACTCCTGTCAAATACCAAAGACCATGAAGTGCCGAATGATCAACATAGTTCCATATTGGAGCTCCTAACGATGCCGCAACCGCGAATAGTTGAACAGCAGTGTTCACTTTACTTGTAAAAGTTGGAGCAAGTTGGGCAGTTGCATGAGTTGCGTCAAAATATCGTGTCCAAGTTCGATGTGTTGGTGGTAAACTTCTGTACCGAATAACAAATGCAGCTGCGATAAGGAAAACGTCTCTGAATAAAATTGTTGCAGCCAGCCAAAGTGGCATCAAATTACAATAACCCAATGAGACAACTAAAGTTCCCATTAAACATTTATCTGCTAACGGGTCGAGAAATGATCCAAAGTTTGATTTTTGTCCTTTCCAGTTTCTAGCAATGTACCCATCTGCTAGATCAGTCAAACCGGCGGCAATCATTAAACCCATTGCAAGTGCAAATTCATTCTGAATGATCACATATCCAAGATAAGGCGACATGAAAATGCGACCAACACACAACCAGTTGGGAATCGTGAAAATATTTTCACGCTCGATCACTTCTTCAACTTTCACTCGAACTCTCGTTTTTGTGTCGCGAATATTTTCCTCGATTTGTTGTTTCTTCTCTTTAAATTTTTCTTTTCGTTTCACGTAAGCTTCTTGCAGATAGGTTGTCCCTTTAACTGTTTTCGTAGCAAGAATATTTTTCTTGACTTGAGTGCAATAAAATGCTGTAACTTTAACATGCTTCAAAAGTGAAAGTCTTTTAGTGGGTATTTGTCGGAATTCAGAGGTAAGTGTGATACTGAACGCTCTATTGAGCGTAGATACTCCAGAAGACAACTTAAAAAGTCTTAGGCAAAACATCTTTTTCAGGCAGATTGGTTTATGTTTGTCTAAAAATAGAATTGCGGGAGACTAAAATATTGAATAATCAAGGAATATTATATTATCAAAAAACTAAAGAAATCAATGAGGTCTCGATTTTATTTGATATCACAAGCATAGACAATCAAGAAATGAGTAAAATGAACAGTCATTTACTAACCAATTATTCGCAATTATCATATTATGTCGCAAAACTTTGGATATCTAACACTTTCTTCAAAATAAAAACATTGGCCGCTGAAAAGAAAAATTCGGCAACATTGCATTTGCTGACAATTACGCAATTTGAATATATTTTGGCCGTTAAAATTAATTTTTGATCATTTTCATTTTTACAACAGAATGAATTAGTTAACATAATTTATGCACGGTGTGCAAGGACGAAACAAAGGTCGATGACATGGAGTTTTTGGTCTGTAACCACTTTTCATTCGAGGCCAACATTTTTGGATTGGAGTTTGTGGACGATAACATGAAGGCCAATACTTGCACACCCAAACGCCAAATGGTCCTCGACTATTAAGGAAAAACGATTTTTGTGAAAATATTATAAAAGAAATGAAATTTTATCCACCTTTTATATGCTCCAGATGGACGGCAAGGGCCATAAGGACGGCCAGCATATCGACACGAGCCACTTAATGGCCATGGTGTTAATTTGCTTAGTGGTTGAGAACAACTTTTCCGTTTCACAAAATGAGTTGGATAAACCTTTTTCAGAAAATCCAATTTTGGTGAAATAAATGTTGCTGGTCCTTTTTTATTCCACGGTCCGTAAGGTCCATATGGAGCTGAAATGATTTTTTATAAATATTGAATGGATGATAAATTCTCTGAATCACCACCTCTTGATCCACAAAGCTTAGAGGGTTGAAAACTTTTTTCTTTTCCACATTCCTTGTCACAAGTTGTCCAATGTCCACATTTTGCATATTTTGCATCACAATTTGTAATGGGTCCAACAGTTATCGGCGGATCACAATTTAGTAATGAAGTATCCACAATACTCCCTTCAGAACACTCGCTTTCTTCGTATTCCTAAAAATCAAAACTTCACAATAAATTTCTAAATTTAAATGGCGATCTGCAAACAGATGATTGCAAATCACATCTCCACATTTACTTCTCTAGTTTTTATAGATAAATTACTCATTTTTGGTAACGAATCTTTCTGATTATTTGAAAAGGAACACAAAAAATTTGTTTTATATGTTTAAAATAATTTTTGGAAATCTTCATGGCAAACTCAGTAAAGACGAATTCATATTTAAGTCAGATATTCTTTATTCATACTGAAAATTTTGAGTAGACATGATGCATTAGAAAGTGTTTTAGAGGAATAATTGCAAGATTGATTTCTTTTTGAAAGGCAAGGTTTAAAAGATGTTTCAATATAAGACTGGCAGTGCCCCGAAGATCTTTCTGAAAAGTGACAAGAGTTATTTGATGATCGCTTATTCAATTTTCTTATCGGACGATGTGGAACCCTTTGAAGACCATTTCGCTTGCGACATGGGGGCAACATGTACCTTAAATTTTGTAACTTTATTGAATAAGACTGAGACATTTTTGTTACACACACAATTCACAAATTGTTAGAAATGATTAACGATGTTTTATAGGTTGCTTAAATTTACAATATCTCAAGTGCTGAATGATTAATCAAACAGTAAACTTTCGCAAAATTTAACGGATTTCATAATTTTAAATCATGTTTACTGTTGAGAGTTTTCACTGTCAGTTGCTGAATTGTGATTTGTACTTCAAATTCCGGCATTCATCAAAAAATAATTGTTCTCATTTTAATAGTTTTTTAAGAAGAAATTAACTAACGTTTCATAACTAACAAATCTAAACACTGCGGTTCCATCTGATAAAAAGGTAATAGTATGAAATATCTGTATTTCTTTGAAGTAAATTCACTTTGAAATCTAATCATTTATCATCAAATTTCATTGTCTAAGAAAGAAAGCAATTTCGCAAAATTTAGAAGAAATCTTATTGTTATCTTTCATCTGCCTGATAAGACGAAGTTAATCTTATTCCATACGATGACATTATTTATATTTCTTTGATAAATGCATAAATTTATATTATTAATATTTGATAAGGCCACATCATTCATTGAACTTTTCTTTTAGGTGAAACAATCATAATGCGATCGATATCAATCGTGTTGCTTATGCTTATTGTTAGCACTTTTGCTGTAGACAAAAATAATTTTAAAACATGCGAGCAGAGCAGCTTTTGTCGGTAAGATAATCAGCATAATTAACAATCCTTTGATGATCGTAAATTTTATTTTTATTATAAGACGATGCCGAAAAGTCCAACCAGGTTCTTCACCTTATGAGATCATTCCCAATACTCTCAACACATACGCTAATCACATAACAGCTGACATCAGAAATAATGAGAATCAACACGTTTTCGTTTTAAAATTAGAAGCACTGAAGGTGACACTCAAAATTAAGAATGTTGTGGGAAGCGTTTGTTATTATTAAATGTAATTGCAATTTCAGGGTAACATGTTTCATTTCGAAATAGATGAGAAAAGTCCATTAAAACCGCGCTATCGAGTCACTGATGCCCTCCAAAAAGAGCCAACTTATGAATCCATCAAAGTGTCATCAACTTCATCTGAAATTACAATAATTTCTGGTCGAAATAAAGCTGTCGTGTTCCTATCTCCATTTAAAATTGAATTTTTCCAAGATGAAACACTTGTAACGTCAGTTAATTCACGAGGATTGATGAACTTTGAGCATTTGCGTAAAAAACCTGAACCACCAGCAGGTGAACAAGAAGGCGCAGAAGGCGATGAGAGTAAAATTGACCCTCCTGAAGATGATCCAGGTGCATGGGAAGAGAACTTTAAAGGACATCACGATTCAAAACCTAACGGACCGTCAGCAGTTGCTTTGGATTTCACTTTCCATCAAGCAAACATTCTTTTCGGAATTCCTGAACATGCTGATTCGTTTGCTCTGAAGTCAACAAATGGCGGCGATCCTTACCGTTTGTACAACTTGGACGTGTTTGAATATGAGCTTCAAAGTACAATGGCTTTATACGGCTCCGTTCCTATCATTTACGGACATGGAGCTGGTGCAACAACAGGAATCTTCTGGCAAAATGCAGCTGAGACTTGGGTAGATATTGCAGGAATATCCGCTGAACAAAACGTGATGTCATCAATTGTTAACTTCGTTGCCGGATCTCGTCAATCCGATCCACCCTCAGCTCATTTCATGTCGGAATCAGGAATAATTGATACCTTCGTCTTACTCGGTTCAAATCCAAATGAAGCTTTCCATCAATACACTGATCTGACTGGAAATGGAAAACTTCCCCAAATGTTCGCCATCGCTTACCATCAATGTCGTTGGAATTACAATGATGAACAAGATGTTGCGCAAGTTGTAGCGAAGTTTGATGAACATGACATTCCAATGGATACAATGTGGTTGGACATCGAATATACAGAAGGCAAGAAATACTTCACATGGGATCACACAAAATTCCCGCACCCTGTCGAAATGATGAAAAATTTAAGCGATGTTGGACGTCATTTGACGATCATTATTGATCCTCATATCAAACGTGATTCAAGTTACTTCTTTCACAATGATTGCACTGATAAAGGCTATTACATCAAGAATAAAGATGGCAAAGATTATGAAGGTTGGTGTTGGCCTGGAGCAGCAAGTTATCCAGATTTCTTCAATCCTGAAATTCGTAAATATTATGCTGATCAATACTTGCTTGATAATTTCAAGGAAAGCACAATTGAGACGGGAATTTGGAACGATATGAATGAACCGTCGGTATTTAATGGACCGGAAATCACAATGTTGAAGGATAATTTGCATTATGGTGGTTGGGAACATCGCGACGTTCACAACTTGTATGGACAAATGCAATTGGTTGGAACATACGACGGTCTTGTGAGACGATCTGGTGGAAGTTTGCGTCCGTTCATTCTCACTCGAGCACATTTTGCTGGCACTCAACGTTATGCTGGTGTTTGGACAGGAGATAATGCAGCTGAATGGTCACATCTCGAGATGTCAATTCCGATGTGTTTGTCACTTTCCGTGTCTGGAATTTCATTTTGTGGTGCTGATGTTGGCGGGTTCTTTGGAAATCCAGATGGGGAATTGTTCTATCGATGGAATCAAGCTGGAGCTTTCCAGCCCTTCTTCAGAGGTCACGCACATATTGACACGAAACGACGAGAACCTTGGCTGTTCCCTGAAGATGTGAAGTTAGTCGTTCGTGATGCGATAAGAAAACGTTACAGTTATTTAGCATTCTGGTACACGATGTTCTATGAACATGAACGGTCTGGATTGCCAATTATGAGACCGATGTTATCACAATATCCGCTTGATAAAAATGCTTATGCACTTGACGATCAGTACATGTTGAGTGATAAACTTCTTGTTCGTCCCGTCATGCAAAAAGGTGCAAGTAAAGTTGATGTTTATTTCCCTTCAAAGAATGGTGAGAAACAAGGTGATATTTGGTATGACATTGATGATTATCGCAAGATTGAACGTGTTGGCGTTGAGTCTGTGAGTGTCAACTCTTATAAGATTCCAGTTTATCAACGTGGTGGAACAATTATTCCGAAGAAGGAAAGAATTCGACGATCAGCTGTCTTAATGCAAGACGATCCATTCACGTTGATTGTTGCTGTTGATGAAAATAATACTGCAAAAGGAACGCTTTACATTGACGATGAAAAGACTTTTGAGTATCGTCAGGGCAAATATTTGTATCTTGATTTTGAATTTAAGGATGGCGTGTTGTCGAGCAGGTAAGCAACAAATTATTTAAACTTTTTCGTGAACTTTTAGTAATTTCATTTCTTCACAGATATATCGACGAGACTGCAAAGTTCTCTACAAAGACATGGCTTGAGCGTGTTGTGATCGTAGGCTTAAATAAAACTCCAACATCAGCCACATTGAGAACAAGTGATAACAAATCAACTCAACTTGAGATCATTGATGTTAAAAAGACTTCATTTGTAATAAGAAAGCCTGGTGTTAGCATGATGGACAACACATGGTCAATCACGTTGAATTATTAAAGAAAGATTATTCCATATAATTTCATTACTTTCATCAAAAACTAAATTAATTTAATCTTTTGACTGTCACAAAGAATTTAAATAAAAGTAAAATAAATTTCGTGTTAGGAAAACGTTAAAATATTAGAATTTTTATGTCTATTATGGAAAAATAGGAAAGGCTTATCTTTCAAAGTCAAAATCATAAAATATTCGGCATGTCGATAATATTTTAATTTAATGCCGATGATATTAAATTTCTTTAAAATTCCACATTCAAATCTATTGCGTTTCGCAAATAATGAAATTGCGATTCGCTCCCTTAAAGCTTTTAAAAGTTCTCGTCATTTACTTCGTAATTAGTATTGTGTTACCTGCATATAAATAAGTATTAATGCAATGATATAACAAATGTTAATTTGCTCTTCTATAATATTCCAGAACTTTTTTCAATAGAAGTTTCCTTATTGAGTTTCATCTTCATTCCCAGGTGAGACCAGAATATTTTGAAAATTAGGTTTTTGTCACGTTTTTCAGAGTTTCTATATTTATCAAAGAAATATTTTATTTAAATAAAAATATATCACAACACAAGCAATATGAATTAATTTCTATAATT